AAAATGCGCCTTATACGCGAGTAAATATGGTAATTATATATCTACTGTCCTAGATAGATATCGTTCTCGGGGTATCGGGGGTACAGGATTACCCACCTGCCATTATGGTTCACTATAACGAACGAAAGAGGATGCACTGTCAAAGAAACCAAACTATTTTTAACCTGGATCTTTTGGAATATTTTCTTCAGTTCCAAATTCAATAAGCTGCATAAGGAATCTGATGGGAAACTAGAAGCAGTTTGGTGGGAATTGCACAGAGGTGTTAGCAACACTGCACGGACTAAGATGAGTCCAATGGTGTTCGCCGATACAATACACAGGTAGCGAACGGCCCAGCAAACTCCCAGCAAGAGCGTTTGTTTCGGCCTTCGGATGCGAGGCATGCATTAGAGCTTTATAAATTAGCATTTCTCAACCTTTTTATTTCCAACAGTACAATTAACAGCGAAATATATGGGGCCGCCCTCCCCATCCACGGATCTCCTTACACAGTATTATAGGCCTTACTGAATAAGGAAAAGCCAGGACTTGAAATTCATTCACGAAGAGGTTATTTTGAACTGGCACTTGGCAATACCACCACTTCAAGAAAACTAATTCAATCTCATAATAACTTGTTTATTTTACTACAATGCAATACCTGTGCCTGCCAGGTTGCACATAAAATTAAGACAACAGCTTGATGTTTGAAGTAACTTTGCGAAGAGCATTTAAATTTTTTTAAAATGGAACATGAACTATATATTTGATATATTTTATGTATGTAGAATTGGAGAAAGTAGACATACATATGTTATGGCAAAGGCGGACAAGGTGCGATATCCCAGGCCAATGCAACTTGTTACTTTTGATTTGAATCGTATCACACATGAAAGAGGAGGTCTTGGGCTATTACAAAACATTACTGGATTTTGCTATAGGTCAGTTTAATCTGAGATAACTACGTGAACATTACCTGTTTCACTGAGAACGCTCACACTACTCCAAAGTCAAAGTCAAAGTATCGAGCCCCTAAGTGAATCTGTATTTCATGGAATCACTTAGGGGCTTGATACTTTGACTAATGTTTCATCAGCTCTTTTGGGTTTTCACTAAACCCAAGCACACCAACCTCAGAGAACTAGTGATAAACACACCCTGGGAGCTGCATTCCTTCTATATTGGGCTGAAAGAGTGAGAAAGTCCACTATTTTGCAGAATGATGGGTCAGTTGGGTTAGAAAATAATCACGGCCTTTGGCTGCGACACTTTTCTAACCCAATTTGACACTGAAATGGTAGGAAATAGGAAATGGAAAATCCTTAGGCTCCAGGAAATGTGAAGACTAGGCCTTTCTTGCACAACACTCCACTTCTCCACTTGAGCCATGCGTGTGTGAGCTGTTTTCTGGGGTAACATGATGCTCTACACCTACTATGATCGACCAATATCGCAGCATCTTAATGACGTTCTTGCTCCCTCTATACATGCTATTTCATAAATTCAGTAGCAATTCACTCCAATACATGACCATAGCAATCAGATGAAGCAGATATTGTATTTAAAAAGTTAAGTTCCGTTGGCCTGGGATATTGCACCTTATCCGCAAAGGCAATCAAGGTTTTCGTTGCAGCAACAATAAGGATGAGCCAAATTTGATCAAAATAGACTCTTAAAGTGTACTCTTGGTATGTGGTATTATTTAAAGCCAGCTAAAGTTAGAAATGTCTTATTTTGAAGCAGTTATTGGGGAGAGGCTGGCTTGATCTCTGTTCTAGAATAGATATGTTCCTCCCTTCTGGTCTTCTTGCCTTCTTTTGGTGATAGGCCACTAAGAAAAGATGCCAACACTCATGATGTACATGTTAGCCTTTTGTAGCATACAGGTTGAGAGCTCCAACATCAGAGTATATGAGCTACTGTGTAAGAACCTGCTGCCATTGTAGTGATGTAGAAGCCAATGAAGAGAATACCCTTCACTCATAGAATGCTAGATACAGCCTCACAAATCCTAGCTCATTGTACAGGATAGGTCATCCCTACTCATTGCTCACACTCATGCAGAAAAATTTGTTTAAAAAGTTAGACAACAGTCTAAAGGTGATAATGCCCTGTGCTGTGCATTATTTGTGCGTATGCATTCAAAATACAGGTTGGCCATGAAATGTGGGATCATTTTAATCATTTTCAGTCATATTTGTCTGTATGATCACTGCTATGTTCCAAATACTTGGGATCATTTCCATGTTCTTTGGGACATTTTCTGCAGCATGTCCTGTGTGACATCTACTGTAGCAGCTGTCACAGCAGATATCCACTGCTGTAACCATTATGATGTTCCTGAAAAGCATGTCTGATATCCAGGACCTTTTGGTTAGTCCAGGTTTGTTCATGCATCCACATGTAGGCCACAAGCCTTTCTTCAATGCTATATGTGCTTTGATCACTCATAATCTATATAACTTGTAAAAGAAAGGAGCCATCAGATGGTCTGTAGACTGAGCTGATCCCCCACTTTGTGGCCACCCTGCACATGCTTATCTGTGCTCTTTAAGGAAGAACTTGCCTACCAAAGTATTAAAAAATTTACAGGCCATCATTAGGGCTCATTAAGTAAGGCAGCATTCAGGGCCAAAAGAACCAAGATCTGTTATTCATGTAGTCATTATTCATGAATGAGGATCCCTAGTGTAGTGAAGTGTGTGATATTAGCAAGAAAAAATGCTGGCCTTTCTCAGAGGCCTCAGCAATGCCATTTGAGGTTATACTGTTTTAAACTTATGACATCAGTGTATCCAGAAATAAATTTGAAGTTAGTGTGTAAAAAATAAGTTTTTTGAAATTGAATGATTTCATGGAGTAAGTCTTTATTGCTTTTGCTACAGAATTTCTAGTAGCTGGTTTTTCATCCTGGTGCAATTATTTATTATTTGTCAACACTACAACTCTCAGAATATGGCAGAACACTCTCCTTTGTATCAATGCATTCTGTATTTGTAAATGTAATCATGGCAAGTTAGTGAAACTGCGGAGAACCCAAACACAATTGTGGCCAGTTGGGTATTTAACCGTTAGCAATTCTTTTATTTAACCTTTTTATTTAATCTAAATTTTTTTTTGCTCTATGCCATGCTATAACTGCCAGTCATCAGTTTTTCATACCCTTACATTAACTTTTTGTGTAATAAGAGCAAACTACTAGAGATAATGATTTGAAATTTTGATGTGTTCTCACTTTAGCTGCATAACTGCTTAAGAAACACTTAAGAACTTTATTTTAAATTTAGTAACGTCAATGCTCGGGAATTATTTGTCCACATATCTGGACAGTATGAAAAAAGGGGAATAGATTCTCACATTTATCCCTTGTTGCATAGCATCTGTGTTGACAATTTTATTATTCAATTTATGGCCCTATTTTCTTTAAAATTTTGCTAGTAAATCATGTCCATACTTTCATACATGCCACAAAAAGCTTCATGCCACAAAGCCATGACATACATGCCACAAAGCAATGACATCTATGCACATAAATCTATGAAATTTGTGCCTGAAATCACCACCAAGAAATGAGAAAGAAAGGTATTACCAGAAAGGATTAATTTTAAAAAGTCATAACTCAAACAGTTTTGAACAGAAAAGGTTGCAATTCCATTATGATAGTTCACTCATCTCAACATGTTTATAATTTAAAAAAGGTGTCAAAATGTTATGTCAGTGACCAGCAATGTGCCCAGATAGGCTTAGTATTTGGGCATGAGAACTCAAAATGAAATATCTCAGGTGTTGGGCAATGCAAGACAACATGCATACATGAGATGTCTTAGGTAATCAATAGGTTAAGAACAAGTTGTAATGGTTCACTTGTGATAGCATAAAGGTTAAGGTTATGTAAACTGTGATTGCAGTAGCAGCATACGATGTAAGACTCCAGAGAGTTTGCAGAATGGCTATTTGCATCATCGTGAGACCTTCCTGCTTAAGCTCTTCTTTCCTGTTTAAGATACCTGTCTTGTAGATACCTCTCCTTGTATTTTTTTTGTCCTGAATAAAAAATATGACTGGGATATTCTGTATATTTAGACATGAGACATGGTAGGGCTAAATTAGGCATAGGCCCACACATTCTGTGGGTGTGCAAGGCTATTCTCATCCTTGAAGATTTTCTTTCAGCTATTTTTTTGGGACGTGGAATGGAAGTGTGACAATGAACCCATCCAGGAAGGATCACAAACCAAAAAATATTTTCAAGAATGATGGCAGCTTTTTGGAATTGTTCAAGAAGATGCAGAAGCAGCCAGAAAACCTCAATGATTCCAGCAGTGGGGAGAGTTGTGTTGACAGAACTGGGAAACTAAGCCTACCTTCTTCTAAGCCTACATCTTCGTCTACAGTGTCTGATTCCCAGGACTCAAGCTGTGGGCCTGGAACCTCCAAACCTGTACCAGTTGTAAGGATGCCTATAAAGGCCTGCCCTACAAGTGTCTTATGTCTTATGCCTTCTCCAGCCTTGTGGATATTTCCTTGTTTCCTGTCAATCAAAAGCTAATGATTTCCCTCAATTGCTGGGCCTGACATTAGCCTGACACAAGCTTAGGAGGATTGACCCATCCCATTAAGGCTACTCCAAACAATACTGTCTTATTTATACTGAAACTTGTAAGCTTTTCAGATTAATGTTATGCTTGGTTTCCTCAATGCAGCTGCAGCATAAGCCTGTCACTTTTTTACTTCATGGTCAGGCTAAAGAAATACCTCATGGGATGACTGCTGAGGTATTGGCTGTGGGGCCATTAAGAGTCTATGTCTGGTTCAAGGAAAATTCCTTTTTTTTGTGTGTTGTTGTTGAGTACCAAAAGAATGAGGGAAATCTTAGCTCTCCATGTATTGACTCTTTGAACTCGCCTAATATCTGGGCATATCCATCTTTAAGAAGTTCGTGAGACCCTTATCTGCCAAGTGGAAGGTTGTGAAGTGATCTCATGCCTACATTTTGATTAAGAGAAAAGAAAGAAAGTATGGAAGATGAGGAGTGCAACAAAGATTCTGAAATGCTCACTCCTACTGATATCTTTCCAGGCTTTAAAGGGGTGTTGAAGAAGTCATTAAAGGATCGGAAATTCCAAGGTGCACAACATGCCAAAGGAGGAAATGATGAATCTAAGCCTGTTGAGGTTTGTCTTGGCAGGTGGGCAAAAGGAGAGGAGGTCGAGTTCTTTCCACTGGTGTGGTGAAGAGGCAGAGGAAGGATGATAGTGATGTATGATTTCCCCACAGTATAGATAGCTACATCCACAATATGTGCATGGCTCTTTTCAGCAAGCCATGAAAGCCTTTCAGCAAGCTTCTTTCAGTACTGAAATGCTGTCAATGACAGCATTTCAATCACTGGGTTGAAAGTAGTGGTATCATGTGGTGATGATGATGAGGGCAATCAAAGTAAGGCATATTGATAACTGGAATATAAAGCAGGAATATAAAGCATTAATGGGCAAGTTGTTAGGAATTAAAATATGGAGAAAAAAAAATTCACTTCATGACTTGCTTGAAAATAACACAAGCATTTGATCCAGATGTTCTTTTCTTTTGCTTGGAAGGTAATGAAAACCTCTTGAATTACATATTTGGGTATCTCTGCATCACTGAAAAATTAATTTGAAAGTATTTTTGGGGAGCAAATTCAGGACAAGTTTTACTTCAGTTACTCAGGAACTGCTCTGCTATCAATTAAAGAAGAGAAGGCTTATAGTCTTGTCATCACTTATGCATTTTCCTAGGCATCCTCAAAATGACATGGAGTGAATAAGAAAAACACTAGAATAGAAAAATGTACAAGTTTGAGTTCTTAGCTATATGTCACTTCTGGATTCTACCAACTGGCTTATGGAGTTTACAGGATTAATTAACTCCAGCTGTAACGGTCAGTCTGAGAAAGGCAATCTGTTTTCAGCTACTGGTGAAGTTGGTGTATGCCTGATGAGGTTCCAGTAATGATCTTATATGATTAATGCAGAAGAAAAATTACAAGACACTCTTCGAGAGTCCATTCATGCTTTTCTTAGCACCATTTCTTTGGTGTAGCAAAGAGAACAATGAAATCCTTTAGATGACAAGCAAACCATCACCACCACCATTGGTACTCATCAGAGTAGCAAACCCAAGGCATTTGCGGTTCTATGCATTTACTGTTTATGTAGCTGCCTATACTGGGGTTTCCCTGAAGTTCATATTTGCACCTTCATTAATGTCAGGAGATAGACTGTTTAAGATGCTTCATTCTCTTTGTCTCTCAGGAGCAAGGCAGGAAGGATGCTTGGTCTCAGTATATGCAAGAAGTACGCATGTATAAGGAGAAGCTGGGAGATGAAGAACCCAAGACACGACCACTAGTGAAATGATACTCAAAAGGGCTTCAAAAGGACAATTTCCTGTAGGCATTTTGCCGGGTGATCACAAAGTCCTCTTTCCATTTCTTCCCCTCATGGGGAATGAGTTTTTTTTCCTGGCATTCTAGATCAATGTCTGTTCTTGTTTGGAGTCCGAGGAAGAAGAAGCAAATACAGCATGCAGTTAATACTTATTTCATTCTATCTAGAAGATAGATTTTTCTCTGTCCCAAAGTGTCCAAATGTGTCCAAATTTTGAAATAACTTCTTTTCTGGTCAGAGTGGAAGATGGTAAAACTATGTTTTTTCTCATTCCAATAAGAATGGCTAAGAAGCACTCTTGCAGTACCTATGGCTCTCCACCATCTTGAACTGGTTGGAGGAATGATCTTGTTTTTTTTTTTCAGGTGTTCATTTCCCTATTGATTGTCAACAAATATTCCTGCAGAAAATATATTGGGGACTTGACTTCCTGCTGGTTTCCCTTTCATTTTTGTGATTGGGAAGCATAAGTCTAAATTTTGTACTTCATTATTTGATTAGAATTAACTGCCATATATGTCAATGGCCCATTGAGGACAGGTCCTGTTTCCATCAGGGATCACTAGCAAACACATTCAATAAAGTATGGATTGCCAGAGTTTTTACACAGAGCACATGATCAGCCCTAAGCATAAATCTTGCACTTTTTGTAACAAATGGTATTGTCAGAACTACATTGTAGATTTTGTCCAGTTGAGCCATTGCCTGAAGCCCATTGTAAAGGCTGGAAAGCCCTGTCATGAAAGCTAATTTTTAGGTGAGGGAACCATCAATGATCCCTGAGTATGGGAGGCTCTTCACACTGTTTGGTCATTATATGAATGCATCAATGGAAACATACTCTGTGAGATTGTATAGGCTGTGAACAGTAATGAGAATACAGTAAGAGGAATCTTCATGTAGTTAGTTGTCACAGGAGCTCAGAACCTATTGTGAAACTTTCTTGGGTCACATTCGAACCATGCACCCACAATGGAAATTTTTGCCACATTTCAAGGCAAGAATTTCAACACAGCACTAAATCTTCAGGGTATGGTTTTCCTCTAAATTCTCAGCTCTTTCTTGAGTTAACCCTACATTGCCCATATTCATTTCTGGAATGTGAATTTTTTTTTTCAAGCATTATTTGGAAGTAAATGGAAAACACACTTCACATTTAATTATATTATTTTAGTATGAGAAGTATTAAGTGGTATGTTACCCTGAGGTCACAATGGGCTGTAAAATTTGTGCACACATCAGGATAATAGGGGTGACTTTAAAGTAGCAACTGTTACTTTGAAATCACACTGGGATAAAGAGGGTTTATTTCATTGTGCATAGTATGTTCCTAGCATGCTTTTGAAATTTCATTCAAATTTATTCTATCAAAGATCGTCAAGATTGATTATTCAAAAGTAATCATAAATTAAAAATGAATAGGGGATTCCAATCCCTTCTGAGTGTCTTGTCCTCTGATGAAGACCAAGGAAAAATTGAATAAACTATGAGCAAGCTCTGTTTGGCACTAATTGATTCATGTCATCAATTGAAATAAAGCAAATAAAAATATCTGCAAGAAAAGACCAGCATAAAAAATTAATTTCAATGGAAGTGAAAGTTGATAGGGCATGGATGATTCGTATGTGGGATGTTCAGGTACGGTATATCCTCCCATTCCCCTACTAGCATTAGCTCTTGCCCATTTTCAATATCATACTCTGTTTTAATCTTTGCTTATTACCTTGCCTTGTAACAAAGAATTTTAAAGATAAGTTGGAGGCTTTTCTATCTCTATGCTCTTAACATTTATTGGAAATAGCTCCAGCAGGAAAAGTTGCAAGTCATTCGTCTTTTTTTCCCCCATACTCTGCATGATGGCAGTTGCCTCTTCATGGCGTACACCCATTGTGAATGTGGTAACTACCAAGGGGGAATAAATCCTATTCCTTCTTTGCCATGAAAAAAGGGAACATGGACTAAATAAAGGCTGCATTTTGAACAAAAAGTATGCAAATAGAACGGAATACAGGCATACTGGGTGCATTCAGTGACACGGGTCATGACTCAAGGGTCTCAGTTCAACACTTGCATTGAGGCTTCAAAATAAATTTCACTCCCTGGTGACACCTCTTGTCAATATCATCAATCCTGAAAATAGTTTTTGAAATGCACCACACCTGCCGAGAATCATGAACCTCGAGTCATGACCCGGGTCACAACTGAATGCACCCATGCCTGATTTTCTGCTTTGAATTGTTTACAAGAATGAGGCATTTTGCACTTTACACACATAGGGTAAAAGATCCAGTGATGGGCCATGTCATGGGAAAACTCCAAAAACTAGGCATTTGTTCCATGACCACCTCTGAAGTTTGCATGTGCTTGAATGCTGCTAGCCCATGTCACAACTTGGGTAGGCATGCTATGGAAGTGAAGCTGTTGGAAATTGTATGTGCTGTGGCCCATCACTGGGTCTTTTACCCTATTGGTTATCCATGAATTGGTGAAAGCACACTAGCTCACAAGCAACAGAATAAAACTGTGCCCATGTACTTGTTAATCTAAATCATTCTTTCAAAAGCAACACTGTTGTTGGGATGATTCCTAGTTGCCTTTTGTATTCCTCACTCTCCCTCTCCTTATAACTCTTTTTCACTTCGATTCCTAAGAGTCAAAGGTTCTTACACCCATCCATGAGCACGGATGTCAGAGCCTTTGCAACATGTTGAACTTGAAGGATGGCCAGGTGGCCAGGTCAACATGTTTGCCAGGTGGTAAATTTCATATCACATGAGAAATGTTAGAAAACCTAGTCAGTCCATTATGGCTGCACCCCCCCCCCCCCCCCCACCTTACCTGGAGTAACTTGTGAGTAAAGTAAACTTGTGAGTAGTCCACAAGATTATTGCTCAATTCTGTGGAACAATGGCATTGTGGTTAACACTTACTTTTGATCTCTTTACATGCTTGATGAATGCCGTCTTTTGTCATTAGATTTTTTGTTTAGGGCTTAAAGGCAACACCTGAGGAGAAATCTAACAAAGTAGGAAGGGTGTCAGTTTAAGTAAGGGTCTTATTTGGTTTTAAAATTCCTCAGTCATGACTTATAATGATCAGTAGTGTATTTGCAGAATCCCAATCAAGAGTCAATTCAAGCTTGTTTTGCGTAAGTGATACCTGCTTCAGTGTTTCATGAGGGGCTCAATAGGCTGCAGGATCTGAAGTAACACTTCCTTCATTGCCCTCGGGTCAGGCAATGATGAGTGCAGCTCGTGTAAATACGAAAGTGGTTGTTAGCTTAGTTATATTTAGGGCTGTCACGATTGATCGATGCATCGATACCACTATTGATAGTTGGAGATATCGATAGTTTTTTCGACCATCGCGATGCATCGGCAAAGTATTTTAAAGGGGAAATGTCCCATTGGATTGAGGTGAGTACAGTACAATACAGTCCGTCCTTGCGGGGAAAGGAAGAAGGGGCGTGATCCACAGGGGCTTGCGATTTATTATCACAATCAAATTCCGGAAATGCCGGGACTGACTATACTGTAAGAAAGACGGGAGGGGGAAAAAAGTCGGATCGGAGACAGGAAGTAGGAAAGGAGAAGGGGGAAGACCGATATGATTTTTTTCTCTTCTGTATTTGTCTTCGGCTCGATCTCAGGTGCATGCTGCGGAAGTGGACTGTACTTAT